CGAAATCCAACCTCGGAGAGTCAGCCCCACAAGGACATACCAATCGTCCTTGCTTGAAATGCCGGCATCCCAACAACCAGCATTTCAGGGGCCAACAGACCGATGCCCAACACCGATTCCCACCGCCAACTCGAACTGCGTTAGCTCTGGCGTCCATTCTTGATGCTAGTGGGTGGGACACTAGCCGAACGAGGCGCCTAGGGAGGGAGTGAGCTAACGCAGGGCCTAGCAAGGGCAAAAACCAAGCCTTTTAAAACCAACCGAAAAAACCTTCACGGACCATACCCCCCCTATATATGCTTAAAAAACATAAACCCAAGTTACAGCAGTAGATACGATTTTGCTGTAGAGTCACACTCACCAAACAGGCCCCAAATTCAAACACAAAGCCAATTCCTCATCACAACCCGCAACCAAACATCATTCTTAGGTCATAATGATATGCAAAACACGCTAACAAACATTTGGGGGGACGAAAAAGCAATAGCCAAAACGGTAAAAGCAGTGGTTCTCAGAAAGCCAACACTTCAAAAACCACATGTGAAAAACAAAAGTCATGCCACCACAGTTTGATTTCCGGATGCAAAAGCTATATGAACTTGTTTAATGGCATTTTGCTTTGAAAAAGACGAAAAACAAACGGAAAAGAGCGGGAATGTAAGGATGCCACAAAGAGGGTACAAAACAAAGGAAACCATTGCAAACAAAGGCGTAGCCCACCATATTGAAAAGGCTTACATGGAAAGTTTTCTCTGCTACAGCAAGGATCAAACCTAACCATGAAAACCAAATACATCTCACACACAATTACGCATCGAAAACTTCATACACACCGCACAACCCACCAACAAACCAAAGGCCAAGTTTTTAACTCGGCAGTCAGCCCACCAGCGAATGCAAGGTGCCCATGACAGTCACATCGAATAGTGCCATGCAGGTTAGCAAACAAAACCGTAGCAAAATTTAAGAAATTTGGCTAACCGAAAGAGAAACCATCCCAGAGTCGGATCAGCAATGACGAAATATCCAACCATCCCCGTTCGAAATGCCGGCATCCCAACAACCGGCATTTCAAAGGCCAACAAAACAGTAGCCAACCGTCCCACCCACTTAGAGCCGCCATAAAACCGACTTCATTAGCCCCCGACGCCTGGTCCTTCCACCTGGGTGGGTGTAATGGAAGAACCAAACGCCGGAAGGGAAGGAGCTAATGCAGGGCCGACACACTTAACATCGGCACACCGAGCCAAATTAAG